TGGATGGATGGATGGATGGATGGATGGATGGATGGATGGATGGATGGATGGATGGATGGATGGATGGATGGATGGATGGAACTCTGGTGTTTTATCTTTTTTTTTATATAATTAGCACTATACTAATATTTGACTGGGTTTGCCAAAACAACTTCGGTGGTAATGCACATGTAGTTTTTCAAAAAAATTAAACATAAAATAAAAGAGTTATCTGCCTTCTACTAGTAAAATTAAACAAACCAAAACAAATAAAACCAGAAGAAAATTAACGTGTTTTTAGGGGAGGTGCTATTTATTGTGTTAGGCAGTCAGTTGATTATTTTTATATTTTAAAGACTTGTAGGATCAGTGATCCATTCCTCTCTACAGTCAGAGGTTTTTGTACGACGGCTCAATGAGTTTGTATCACTGTGGTGGACTTTTGGTGGAGGAACCAGGCTGGATGTTAACTGTAAGTAAAACTAACCTAATTCAACTAAACGTTCTCTTTTTCGAAATTTACAGGTTTTTTTTTATTCTTTATTTTGACAAGAAAATGTTTTTTCTTTAGCTATAGTTAGTTTTAGAAAATGTTAAAGTTAGTGAGTAGTGATGTGAAATAGGCTGCTATCTGTTTTTATTTGTTTGTTTGTTTTTAAAATAACATTAATTGAATAAGCTTTGAAAATTGTCTCAATATAATACGTCATTTATTTCTGTAAGCAGAGTAGGATATATGTAAACCTATACATGTAATATCGATGTCACTATGTGTGTAGTCTTTGGCTCATACGAATTTTCTCTGAGGTTCTGATGATGATTTTTGATATAAAAATATCTATATTTTCATTTTTTAAATGGTGTATTGTGATTACAAAAATAAAGGATTATTGTGAAAATTTTATTAGTATGCGATATCCAGATATCAGGAAATTCAAAAAAGATTTTAAAAAATTGTTTTAGAAAAGCTATTTAGATTTAGAAGATTTAGCAGTTTAATTAATAAGAAATAAATGGAAAACTTTAAGAAGAAATTTCAGTTTTTATGTGTGGTACTGAAACTTGTTTGTTGCTAAGGTTGAGCAGTGATGCAGATATGTTACCATGGATACAGAAAACAGAGCGGGAAATAAAATTTCAAGCCGTTTAATCTCCCCTCTCAAATGTATTTTTGTTCTATATAGTGGAAAATACCCGTCCCACCCTGACAGTGCTGCCCCCCTCCAGTGAGGATCTGCAGCAGGGGAAGGCCACCCTCATGTGTCTGGCCAACAAGGGTTTCCCCTCAGACTGGAGTCTGTCCTGGGAGGTGGACGGCAGCATTAACACCTTCACCTGGGAGGAGAACAAGAGCAGAGGAGTTATGCAGAAGGACGGCTTCTACAGCTGGATCAGCACCCTGAGGCTCCCTGCAGACCAGTGGAGGAAGGTGGGCTCTGTGACCTGTGAGGCCACCCAGGGCTCCCAGTCTGCAGTCACAGATACACTGAGGAGAGACCAGTGCTCCCAGTACTGAAATTGTTCAGTTATTAATGTTTATTTGCTACTGCCTTGTCTGTATTCTTTAATTTTACTTCTAGTTTTTTATTACTTTAATCTAGAAGTTATATTAAGTCTGCATTTCTCAACATAAATGTTTTCTTGATTTCATGAGCTCAATAAACAATCTTATCACAGAACTCTATGTGTCATTGAATAAAAACAGAAACAAATAAAACTTATACTGCTTCAGAATTTAATCTAAACATTAAAAAGGTTTTTATTTAAAAAGTTTAAGTCATATTTCACTAAGCAGTACAAACATATTTTGCTATAATCCAAGTATAAAAAAAATATTTTTATGCTCATAATTCCTCTCTGAATTGTAATGTTGGGATAAATAAGGAGTAGAAGCAATAAATAGAGATTAATTTAAAAAACTGCTATTGTTTATTTCAATAAAAAATATCTAATTTTATAATAAAGTAACAAAACAAGAAATATATAAATAAAATTTCCATCTTAGTAAATTAAAATAAAACAATGATGACAAAGAATAACGACTAAACCATTGTGTGTATGTGTGACTGTCATCATAAGTTGTGTAACATTTGGATATTGGAGCGTTTCATCAAGAAATTCAGACTAACTGTGAGTTGCATTGGGCAACATTAAGGTGAAATACAAGCTAACTTTGAGGAACATTTATAACTTATAAAGGAAAATAGCTTGGTCTTGTATGTAAGCAATCCATGGTCTTATGAATCAGAATGTTTTTTGCATACCTCTTTTTTGGGTGTCTTTGGGTGTGGAACCTTTTTAATATGGACCTTATTTTATAAATAGTTACCCAGAGCTTAAGGTGCTGTTTCTTTTCTCAGGGTTAACAGTGAGTATTCATCACCCTATCTGTATAGGCTTCACCGCTTTAGTGTCTGGCTAGTGGGATAAAAGAAAAGCAGTATGAAGTTCTGTGTGTTTGTCCAGATCACAAATACAAAACATTTACTTACAGAAAACAGCTTTACTTCATTTGCTCTAATTTCCACTCACAGCCAAGTAACACTAAGGGAAAATAAGATGCTCAGGCGTGAGGCTCAGATTGCAAACCTGTAACTGGATCAGAATCAGAATCAGAATCAGGTTTATTGCCATTGTTAGTGAAGGAGTTCACAAACTAGGATTTTTTATGGTACAATCGTGCAACATGAAACATATAATATGGAATAGGTAAATAAAATTATAAAAATATCTAAAAACACTGTGGGTATAAGGCATGCAAAAAATAGACTAACATATACACTTAGGATAAAAATATGGATAAAAAATATAAAAAGTAAAATAGCATCTTACAAGGTAGTGCAAATAGAGCAGTGTGCAAAAGTGTGTTCATGAGTCTTATGGCAGAGGGGAAGCAGAGGGGAAGAAGCTGTTTTTATGGCGGGAGGTTCTGGTCCGTATGGACCGTAGCCTCCTCCCTGAGGGGAGAGGTTCAAACAATCTGTGTCCAGGGTGAGAAGGGTCGGCTGTGATGTGACCTGCACGCCTCCTGGTCCTGGAGACATACAGGTCCTGGAG